GGGCGCAGCTCCGCCTGCACGGCCCTTCTGCCCCTCAGTGCGGGGGGAACGGGGTGGGAATCACCCGCTCCCTTGGCATGAGGGGGCACACACACAATGGGAACCCTGGGTCTATGGGTTTTGGGGGAGAGTGGCCTTTTCTGGGCACCGAGGGGGTTTTTAAAGTGACAAGCTGTGCTTTTTAAGTGCTGTGAGGGTGTAGGTTTGTTTTTGGGCACTGAGGGACACTTTCTGGGTTTTTTTAGGGTGTTGAGGGGTGAGTTTGGGGGCTTTTGAGTGCCAAGAGTCATCTTTTGGGTGCTGAGAGGTGGTTTTGAGAAATGAGGGGGATTTTTAGGGTGCCATGGGGCATGGGTTTGGCTGCTGAGGGTTTTACAGTGCCAAGGGGTGTTTTTAGGTAATGAGAGGGTTTTTGGAGGATGTGAGGTGTTTTCTAGACGCCAGTGAATGATTCTGGGAGCCAAGGGCTGTTGTTGGGGTACTGAGGGATTGGTCACAGACGCCAGGAGTGCTGTGAGCAGCCGGGCGCTGGCTCCCTCCCTGCAGGTGCCCTGGATGACTCGGAGCGGGTGCACATGCGGATCCTGCAGACCATCTACCGGCAGCTGACGCGCTCCAGGCTGGGCTGCCCACGCTACGGGGCACACTGGGAGGAGCTGGGCTTCCAGGGTAGGGCAGGGAGCAGCCCTCTTGCCTGGGGACATCCCCAAAATCCATCCAGACCTCCCCTGGAACCTGCCCGTTCCATCCCAGCTCCCTCAGGCACTCTCTGTGCTCCAGAGCCGGCCCCACTGGCCTCCCTTGGGCATCTCCAGCACCTCAATGTCCTCCTTGGACCCCAAAACTGACCCCAGGCTTTGATCACCTCAATCCTCCCACTCCATATCCCTACAAAATTCCCAGGGGCACTCTCAGTCCCTTTGTCCATAGAAGAATTAAATCAAACTGGGCCCAGTACGAGATCTGGACTGATTGGCAGGGTCACCCCAGTACCACGTTCCTAAAAAAGCTGGTAATTCCTGGAGAGGTGTGGGAGTGGTGGGGTGGGGCAGGGGCTGGTTAATGCCCAGGTGATGGCCCCATCAGGGAATGTCCTGAAAGCTTTCCCTCAGGGAAGGGAATCCCAGGATGGTTGGGCTCTGGAGGTGCAGTGACAGGGAGTGCAGGGAATAAACACCCCACGGAGCTGGGAAGGGAGCAGGGAGTGACTCCAGGCTGTCCCTCACCCTGCCAGGTGCAGATCCTGGCACTGACCTGCGTGGGACAGGAATGCTGGGGCTGATGCAGATCCTGTTCTTTGTCCTGGATTCCCGGACGCTGCCGCTGGCACGGGAGATCTTCCAGCTCTCCCACCATGAAACCCAGGCATGACCTTCCCCCCTCCCTGCCAGGGGGTCTCCCTTGGAATTCCCAATGCTCTGGGAAGGGGAAGAACCAAAACCTTCTCTTCTGAGTTTTTTTGGGATGCTGAACCACCTTGTCCTCATGACGGGAAGAAGGTGGTGCCCAAGAGCCCTGATCCAGGCTGGAGCAGAGCTGTATTTATTTTGGGAATGGGATTTTAGGGATCTGATACTGGCTTGGAGTGGAATAAACAGGCTGGAGAGTTGGGCAACAGGAAAATGGGAGTGAGTAGAGACATTTTAGTGCGAGTTTAAGCCTGGGTGCAAGATAGGCTCAGCCCTCAGCATCCATCCAAGCCTTGGTCAGTGGGACTGTTATCCCAGGGCATGGATAGCACGGATGCATGGATGCAGTGTCAAAGGGCCAGAGAGGAGGAGGGTTTTCCAGCTGAGCTTCCTTCATGCTGGGATTGTGGCTGTTTTCCAGAATTTTCCCTTCTGCATCATGTCTGTGAACATCACCCGGATCGTGATCCAGGCGCTGCAGGAGGAGCGGCTCTCCCGGTGAGCGGGCTTGGCTTGGGCTCTCAAGCTGCATCCCAGGCTGTTCCCCTGCCCTGGAGGTGGCTGTAATAATAACCAGAGGGCACTCCATTTCTTCATGCAGAAAAGCCATTTTTTTATTCACATAACTCATTTCACACAGTTTTTACATGCGTCATGTGTAACTCCAACTGGCTGGTAGTTTTCTTGCTAATCAATTAATTGGTTAAAAAGTGCCTGTGTGTGTAAGACTCTCTCCATCTACAAGTGTTTACACTTAGTAGATTCTCATGGGACAGATCAATTTTTATGGAAGTGCAGATTTCTATTTCTCTCCAAGAGTAGGTGTCCGTGTTAACAGACTCTTCACTCCCAACATTGTTCTGCATGGGAACTTCCAACCTATTACTATCTTAGCTAGACCAGCAGGGTCTGAACCCGGTTTTTAAAGACTTTTCCAGTAGTTTGAACTGTCGGAAATGTCTGTGCTCCCCCTGCAGGGAGTGCAACCGGCGGCAGCAGGTGATCGCGGTGCTCAACGACCTCTACGCCGCCGCCTTCCTGCGCCTCTCGCGCCTCTGGGAGCAGCAGCACGGCACCGTGGCCAACGCTGGCTTCTTCCTCAAGGGTTTGTCTGCATGGCTGCTCCTTCCCCTGCCCACGGACACTCCCAGTTTAATCCCCACGCTGAGCTTTTTCCAGTTTTCCCTATCCCGGGGGTGGTTTTCCTCACATTTTCCACCCCAGGGGGATGCTCGAGGTGGGTGACACGTGGGGACATTCCCTGCTGGGAGCCATAGCTTAGCCCTTGTCCACGAATTACTTACTCCAGAGAGGAATGCTGTCAGTGGGAGCAGTGCATCCCCCAGAAATCAGGGTCCAGCTTCACCCCATCTCCCCTGCACCCCAATTTTAGGGTGCTCAGGCTGGCACTGTGCTCTCTCCACCCAAGGAAAGCACCAGCATGCCCTTTCCCAAGGGAAAATGTCAGGACATGGATGGTTTGGACCCTTGGCACCATCCAGTCCTGCTCCCCTCAACCTTTTTCCCCTCTGCCCTTTCCAGAGCTGGAATTATCCACCAAAAAGAAGCCGAGGCAGCTGCTGAAATCCCTGGAAGCCTACCTGAGCCGTGGCCTTCGGCCTCCCTCCCCTCCCTCCTCCCAGATCCACTTCAGCAGCATTTGTGACCCTGGGGTGCAGCTGGAGGGAGATGCCTGACTGCTCTGGCACGGAGTGGGACCTGCACAGGGAATTGTGCTGGTGGATCAGCCCTTGGAGGGACACACAGGGGTGTTCCCCTGGTTTGGGGGCTCAGGAAGGGCCAGGAGAGGTCTCAGAGCCGGGATTTTGCCTGCTCCAGGTGGAACTTTCTGGAAGCAAAGGAGGAGGAGGTGGCAGAGCAGGGGATTCCGTGAGCCACCCAGCCTGCTGCTGGGACAGTCCCTGTCCTCACCCAAATCTAGGGTCCCACCTGGGTCCTCACCCTGCCCAGCTGGAGCTGGAAGGTGGTGCTGGGTCCCTGGGTCCCATCCCAGCCCCAGCAGCGCCAGGAATGGGTGACCCCCACTTTGGGGGGCTGTGTCAGACCCCCAGGGCCACTGTGGGCTGTCAGCACCCAAAAAAGTTATCAAATGGGGGAGATGAGGGATCTGGTGGGAAAGAGAGTTTTGGGTTTGCCACTGGACTCTGTGTCTGGGGGAAGGAAAGGAGGACTGTGGTGCCCAGAGTCACTTTGGGGTGGAAAAGGTGCTCTGGAGGAGAGAAACGAGGGTTGAGAGCTCCAAGGAGGAGGGGAAGGGTTATTCCCTCTGGGAGCTCAGGGCCAGTGCTTGGGAATGTCCCCAGGCCCCTAAACATGGGGAAAAGCAGCCCCCAAAGGCCAGATCTGGGGAGAAATGAGGGGTTTGGAGAAGTGGGAGCTGGGGAGAGTGGAACGTTGTGGCCCCAGCCCCGCTGAGAGGGTGATGATTCCCAGGGGCTGGGAATGCTCCTGGATGGAAAAAAAAATTAAATAAATGGAGAAAAAAGCAGCCTGGAGTTGGGGTTTGCTGTCCTGATCTTGAATTATTGGGGAAATTGGATCTGGAATCCTTTTCAGGTGTTTTGGGGGAACAAAGATGTGGTGGGGGGTCGGGGCAGTCTTGCACCTGTGGGAACACATTTGGGAGGGGTGTCTGAGATCTGGGATAACGGGGGGATAGAAAAGATGAGAGAAAAGGTAAAAGGAGAATAAAACCAAAGAGACAAGAAAAAAGGAGGGAAAACAAAGAAATAGGAGAAGGAAAAAAGGAGGAAGAAAAAGATGAGGAAAAAAGAGGTTAGAAGGGAAAGAGGCTCCACCACTCTTTTCCT